TGTGTGTGTCTGTAGATGATCTGACTGTGTGTGTCTAGAAGAACTGTGTGTGTCTGTAGATGATCTGACTGTGTGTGTCTAGAAGAACTGTGTGTGTCTGTAGATGATCTGACTGTGTGTGTCTAGAAGATTTGTGTGTGTCTGTAGATGATCTGACTGTGTGACTGTAGATGATCTGACTGTGTGTCTGTAGATGATCTGATTGTGTGTCTGTAGATTATCTGACTGCGTCTGTAGATGATCTGACTGTGTGTCTGTAGATTATCTGACTGTGTGTGTCTAGAAGATCTGTGTGTGTCTGTAGATGATCTGACTGTGTGTGTCTGTAGATGATCTGACTGTGTGTGTCTAGAAGATATGTGTGTGTCTGTAGATGATCTGACTGTGTGTGTCTAGAAGATTTGTGTGTGTCTGTAGATGATCTGACTGTGTGTGTCTAGAAGATTTGTGTGTGTCTGTAGATGATCTGACTGTGTGTCTGTAGATGATCTGACTGTGTGTCTGTAGATGATCTGACTGTGTGTCTGTAGATGATCTGACTGTGTGTCTGTAGATAATCTGTCTGTGTGTGTGTGTGTCTGTAGGTTGTCTGGCTGTATGGTGACAGAGGAAGGCTGTGGTTATTTGTCTTCAGCTCTGAGTTCAAACCCCTCACACCTGAGAGAGCTGGATCTGAGCTACAATCACCCAGGACACTCAGGAGTCCAGCTGCTCAAACACAAACTGGAGGATCCCAACTATAAACTGCAGATACTCAAGTATGTGATGTTTACGTTACGTTTTGGAGCTGCATCGTTTTTCTTCTGTTACTTCGCTGCTTGTAATGAATAAATCTCTGTATTAGCTCACCAAATGTATTTGCATAATATTTTTACTGCTGTTTTGTAAGATGAATAGTGTTTTACCGTAAACAAATGCAACATGGGCAGAGTTGATCAGTTCAATTTAAATCTAATATGGAGAGCAAATCCAACAGCAAACAAGATATTCATTAGATGTAAATTGGGTTAATACAAATGTAAAGATTGCAGACAAAAACATATGATGATATGTATATGTTGCAGAGTTACTGAATCAATGCAAATAATTTGTAACTGAATATTAAATAATGTTTGAAGATAATATATTTGTAAAGCTGTTCACTAAGACAACTAGAAAAATAAATAATATAAATAAAACTATAACAATAATAAATACAACTGTTCATTTATTTCAACTGCTGCCAGTTCAATTGCTGTCTTACATTTTTAAATATAATCAGCTTGGTTGTGTAAGTCATTTCAACTTAAATTAGCCTATAATAAACTGACTGAATCTCACAACTTAATAAAAATATAATAGCTCAACTTATTTTAATGAGATAAAGTAATGTACAGTAAAAACATAAGTTGCCATGACTTACTGATCATATTTTGTACAGTGTATATATTAGCGGAGTGAATGTGAATAGCTATTGAATGTGAATAACTACTTATGATTCTTTTTGTCTGTGTGTTTGTGTGTTTTTAGTTCGGATCATGGAGGACCCCTCAGAATCACACCAGGACTAAGAAAATGTAGGTTCTTTCTCTGACACATCTCTGCATGTTTAATGATAACAAATTAGATTTTTGAACTGTTTCTATCACTCTTCTTGTTATCAGATGCCTGTGATCTCACACTGGATCCAAACACAGCACACACTTAACTCACCCTGTCTGAGAAGAACAGAAAGATCTCGTATGTGGAAGATCATCAGCCGTATCCTGATCATCCAGAGAGATTTGCTGATATTCCTCAGGTTCTGTGTGGAGAGAGTCTGACTGGACGCTGTTACTGGGAGGCTGAATGGGGCTCCAGGGAGGATGAACAGAGTTCTTGGACTCGTATAGCAGTGACCTATAAAGGAATCAGGAGAAAAGAAGGGACTGTCTGTAAGTTTGGATACAATAACAAATCCTGGAGTCTTTTCTGCAATAGTAATGGATTTGCTGTCTGGCACAATAATGTGAGCAATAACATAACAACTAATGTACCAGAATCTAAGAGAGTAGGAGTGTATCTGGACTGGCCAGCCGGCACTCTGTCCTTCTACAAACAGCGTCTCTGACACACACACACTCACACACATATACACATTAAACACCACATTCACTGAACCCCTCTATGCTGGATTTAAGTTGTTTGGTTCATCACTCTCTCTGTGTCAGATTTAATAACAGACAAACTATTGACAACACTTTCTACCTCCATCACATTCTTGTTCATACTTAAAACCTGTTTATTCACATAAATGTCAGAAAGTTCAGGTTTTACTGTCTGGTCCATAAGCAGCTGTAAATTTAAGCTGTAAATAATGAAGGTTCAGTCTAGTTTCTGGTTTTACATTATTCACACAATCCAGATTCTTGTGGTTAGTCAGCACCTCCATACACTGTTTATGCATTTTTTTATTTTTATGTACGTACAAGTTTTAGATGTGCAGTTTGATTCCTTTTACTGTTTCTTTTTTTATTTTACTGAAATGTGGCATTGTAAATACTTTTGGCTTACTGTCAGAATAAAAAAGTAATAAATACAGATGTTCTTTGAAACTAATTGCTCACTATGTTGTTTATTTACAGACACTGATTAGACTGGCTCTGTCTTGTATGACAATCTCCACTCTAACAGAGATGCTTTCAAGTGAAGAAACTCCAGCAGCTTTCATCTCTTGACTATCAGAAAGGAGACAAGCTACTTTATAAGACAAAAATAATGCAGGAACATTATTACTATTTTGAATACAGTCACACAGACAAAAAAAATGAACTCAGGGATATAGACAACTGTTATTCAGTGTCAGTCTCAGTTTGGGAAATCAGAGAAACATTCAGCAACTTAAGTCAGAGACCTTATGAAAGCATAACAAGGGCGGTGGAACTATGGTGCCATAATCGTATGGCGGAAAATGGCGGCGCGCATGGACGCAGCGGCTTTGCTCTCCCAGTGTTTTTTGTTTGTTTTGTTTGTTATGTGTGCCTGTCTGTCGAGCAGCAACTCTACATATAATCGTGATGTCCTGTTAAAGATCGGAGCGTCGTGCTCCGAGCCAGACTCAATCCGGAATCATTATTATAACAACGAACAATTCCCGGAAGAGATCGTTCGTCCAGCGGGATCTCCATGGATCATCATACCGACCGGTAAACGCAGGAGGCGGCGCAGGGAACGCAGGCAAAAGCGGGGCTGCCGGGCTGGCTTGCTAACAAGGCTAAAGAGAACACCCCATAAGCCTGCGCTGCCCAGCATCTTCCTCACAAATGCAAGGTCACTCAGCAACAAAACAGAAGAATTGGATTTGATCATATTGACGAAAAAAACAGTTAAAGTCTGCTCGGTCATAATCATATCTGAGACCTGGCTCCACTCGGGAATTTCGGACGAAGCTATCGCGCTAGCAGGCCGCACAGCGCACCGGGCTGACAGAAACAGCGTCTCCGGTAAGAGCAAAGGCGGGGGGCTGATTATTTACTCAAATGATAAGTGGTGTACAACGCCACCGTCACGGACAAACACTGTTCGCCGCACTTAGAGTATATAACGCTAAGATGCCGGCCCTTCTACTTGCCGCGGGAGTTCACTGTTGTTATTGTTATGGCTGTGTACATTCCACCAAGCGCCAACACGAAACAAGCACTGGATGTTTTGCTGGCGGCTATCAACAATCTGCAGACTGCTTACCCTGATGGCATTTTTATTATAGCGGGGGACTTTAATCAAGCCAATCTAAAAACTGTACTTTTATCTTTTATCAGTATATTACATGCCCCACGAGAGGACGTAATGTTTTGGATCATGTTTACAGCAACATTAAGGATGGATACAAAGTCACGACCCTCCCCCACCTGGGCCAGTCTGATCACCTATCCCTCTTTCTCACCCCTGCATACAAACCTCTCATCAGGATAACTAAACCATCTGTTTTAACAATAAGGACCTGGCCTGAGGAAGCTTCCATCCAACTTCAGGACCTTTTTGAACACACTGACTGGGACTTATTTGCACAACAAAACATAGAGGACTACACATTTACTGTCCTATCCTATCTACAGTTCAGCATTGACAATGTCACAGCTGAGAAACAAATCAAATCCTATCCAAACAACAAACCATGGATGACACCAGAAGTTAAGCTCTGTCTGAGGGACCGGGACTCAGCCTTCAGGTCTGGTAATGTAGAACTGTATAGTACAGCTTGGCCCAACCTGAAGAGGAGCATCAAAGAGGCAAAAGCAGCTTACAGGCAGAAAATTGAAGGCCACTTCAGTAATGGGGACCCTCGAAGAGTTTGGCAGGGTATCCAACATCTCACCAATTATAAAAGCAGCACAAGTCCAGACATCAGCAGCACCAGTGACTCACTGGTGGAGGAACTAAATCACTTCTTTGCCCGCTTTGATGTCAGCACGGATGAGACTGAGTATGTGCTGTTACCATCCACTGACAGCCTGGCACCTTCTGTGAGTACAGCCGAGGTCAGGAAAGTGCTCCGTAGTGTCAATCCCAGAAAGGCGGCCGGTCCAGACGGCATCCCAGGAAGGGCACTCAGAGATTGCGCAGATCAGTTGGCAGAGGTTTTCTGTAACATCTTCAACCTCTCCTTGTCAACATGCACTGTCCCCAACTGCCTCAAGTCTGCCACCATAGTGCCCGTCCCCAAGAAAACAGCTATCAGCAGTCTTAATGATTACAGACCTGTGGCCCTCACTTCCACTGTAATGAAGTGTTTTGAGAGGCTGATACTCACACACATTAAATCATCACTTCCTTCCACTCTGGATCAACATCAGTATGCATACAGAGCTAACAGGTCAACTGATGATGCCATCAACACTGCTCTCTACACCACGCTGAATCATTTGGAGCACCCGGGAACATTTGTAAGGATGCTGTTTGTGGACTTTAGTTCCGCATTTAACACTATCATTCCCAGCAGAATGGTCACCAAACTGCTTAACCTGGGTGTCAGTGATTACATATGTTTCTGGGTAAAGGATTTTCTAACAAACCGCACACAGACTGTCAGGCTGGGGGGCCATCACTCAACTACCCTGACTCTCAGCACTGGAGCCCCACAAGGCTGTGTGCTGAGTCCTCTGTTATACTCACTATACACCCACGACTGCACACCAACCCACAGCACAAACACAATCATTAAATTCAAATTTCGTTGTGCAGCTGTACAATGACAATAAAAAGCTATTCTATTCTATTCTATAACACTTTATGAGACACAAAAGTCCAGTTTGTGGACTGCAAATAAACCAGTTGAATGCAGAACAAATACATGCAGATGTATTTCCTTGCCGCTTACTGTAAATGTGCAGTCTATTTTTCTTCTAGATTCTATTGTCAGTAGTGTAGAGATGAAACAGCATACACAAATTCAAACCAAGCAGCTTATTCAACGTGGTATATCAGTGTATCAGTCTGTGTCTGCGTACATAAGCAGCCCAGCTCTCCCGTTTCTCCTCTGTCAGCAAGCCTCGGAGAGGGAAACAGCGGAGTCAGGGAATAAGCAATCGGTCTGACTGATCTCATGCCGGCACTGTGCCTGCGTGCTCGCTCTTCCTGTTGCACTCATATCCGCCGCAGAAGGGCAGTGAGCTACACGCTTATTGAGACAGAATGCTCACTCGAGCATGAGTCTCGCTTTTCTCCACTCGCGGACCGCCTTTTTACTGAACAGCCCCGCTCTCACGTTTCTCCTCTCTCAGCAAGCCTCGGAGAGAGGAACGACGAAGCCTGATAACTAAGCAACCGGGTCTGAGCGATCTCACGCCGACACAGAGCCTGCGTACTCGCTCTCCCCACTGTGCTTCGATCCGTGTCTCACACAAAAGGATCAGTGCCCCTCTTTACATCGTGCGGCTCTATCCTACAAAGTAGATCGGAGCAGATGCCCAGCCAGCGAATTTCGTTCCTGGGAACAATTTTCGACTCCGCTGCCGAGCCATTGGTTCGTTTTTTAAGCACTGCACGAACCAATGGCCGTGCAGTGAATGAAAAGGCTTCAGTTCAGGAGAAAAAAGGCTTTTCCCCATATGCGTTTTAAGCAAGACGCAGTACTCGTTCCCGTATCTCAGGGAACCGAGGTTATGTTAGTAATCGAGTACGTTTTCACTTTCAACCAAAATTTGACTTCTGAACAATGTAAGTCCACATCTAGTGTGATGGGAAGCTTTATTAGAATGTTAGAGGATAATGTTCAATGTTATCAATAAACATTTTTAGAATGTTTTTAGAGAATGTTATCCTACCTTTTAGCAGAACATTCTGGGAACTAAAATAAAACTTGCAGCTGAAAACAATCCCAGAACATAAAAAAATTCTAGATGAGAGCTTGTGTTGAACATCCTGTCTCCTATATTTCTAGTAAGTTAATTGGAGTTCAATGAAATTATAGTGTAATTGAAAAAGAGGCCCTTGCACTGTTATTATCTCTCAAGCATTTTGATGTATACCTCGGTAACAGCATTAGTCCTGTTGTGGTGTATACTGACCATAACCCCCTGGTGTTCCTTTCTTGTATGTCAGGTGCCAATCAACGGTTGCTATGGTGGTCCCTTACTCTACAAGGGTACAACTTGGATGTCCGGCACAAGAAAGGGGAGGAGAACATTATGGCAGATGCCCTTTCGAGAGTATAATGGCACTTTTCCACTGCGTGGTACGACTCGGCTCGGCACGGCTCAGTACGGCTCGGCTCGGCTTGGTTTGTGTTTCCACTGCAGTTCAGTACCGCTTTAGAGTGGGTGGGATTATTCACATGTCGTTTATAGTTGCGCCGCCTCTACTACCGCGACTCCTGAAAAACTTTTTCATTCCGCGTCGCCCCATCAAGCTCGCTGGATCCGCTCCTCTGCCAAGGGTCTGAGAGTAACGCAATTTCAATTCTCTGTGTGTATGTGCTGTACATGTGGAAGAATTGACAATAAAGCAGACTTGACTTGACTTGACTAGTTGCGCCGCCTCTACTGCCGTGACCCCTGAAAACTTTTTCATTCCACGTCGCCCCATCAAGCTCTCGCTGGATCCGTTCCTCTGATATCAACGAGAGGAACATCTGTATTTCCTCAACAGACAATGAAACAGCCACTTTTTGGTTGTTAAAAAAAGGTGGGCTCGTTCAAAACAGTTGTGTTCGATCTTTCTTCTTCTTCTTCTTCTTCTAATAACGTTTTATGGCGGATGGCAAACCAACTTCTGGTGCATTTACCGCCACCAACTGGACTGGAGTGTGAAGCACTAATAAATACATATATATACTCACCATTGTTGACCGATTCTCCAAAGCCTGCCGTCTGATTCCGCAGCCTAAACTCCCCACATCCTTCGAAACCGCTGAACTACTTTGTAATCATGTGTTCCGTTTCTACGGATTATTCCTTTGTATTTTTCTCATAAGAAGAACGCCATGCTATGCGCATCTTAAGCAGCGGAAGAGGTAATTTACATGAGTAAGCCTTTTTTTATTACTTGCATTAGTTGTTGTTGTGTTATGTATTGTGACATAACTTGTACACATTTTACTAGTTATACTTTTTCCAAACTATAATTCTTGACTATATGTGTTGTGACAAGTCAGAAGCGTTTGGATCCATTTGCAGCTTTTATTTAGAATAGTCAGAGAATACAGGGTCAAATACCGGCAAGACAGAACAGCAACAGTCGGCTGGCTTGTTGTTCTTGACGCCTTACGGCATGAAGTAGGTGAGTATGTGCCCGGTCCCAGACCTCCTCGCTGTGTTGCAACCAATCTGTGACTGAAGGTAATTTGGTGGGTTCGCCAGACCAGGGAAACAATGGAGGTTGGAAGCCCAGAATGCACTGGAAAGGGGTCATACCGGTGGAGGGTTTCATCAATGAGTTTTGGGCATATTCTGCCCATAGCAAGTACCTGCTCTAGTCTGATTGTTGTTGTTGACAGTATGATCTGAGGAATCGTATCACCTCCTGATTCAGGCGCTCAGTTTGCCCGTTGGATTGGGGGTGATAGCCAGACGTGAGGCTGATGTTCACATTGAGATGCTTGAAAAAGGCGGACCATACCCTAGAAGTGAACTGGGGTCCTCAATCGGATACTATGTCTTCGGGTAATCCGTAGAAACGGAACACATGATTACAAAGTAGTTCAGCGGTTTCGGATGCGAGAAATAATTGTATCTTCTTTCCTATTCCTAAAAATACTTCTTCCATTTCCTACTTGCTGCTGAATATTATACATTTGTCTGCCCTTGCTATCACATTTCCATACTTCCTGACATTTTTTTTGTTTATGAATTCTTTAATTTTCCCTTTAACCTCATTTTTGCTAAGAGTCACTTGAATATCTATTTCTGAGTGTTTAAGGGCTTGCTTAGCAAGCTTATCAACAGTGTTGGGGAAAGTTACTTTTAAAAGTAATGCATTACAATATTGCGTTACTCCCTAAAAAAGT